ATGTCTCCTCTGAGATACATTAAACTGTGTAAATACATTTAAATGCTATTTCATATTCCAGAAATGTTTTCTTATGTTGGAATGAAAGACACTAAGTACCGGATGAAGTGCTTCTTATTCTTACCCAAAAATACAAAATGGAAGAAAGAGTTAAAACTTGCTACTCAAGTTGTGTATGATTTTTTTAAATATATATTTATTTGCTTCTTTTCCATTTTGCATTTACTTGTACTTTTACTTTCAATACTTAAGTACATTTAAGATTCAAAAAATACTTTTCGTACTTAAGAACAATAAATATCACATACTTTAAGACTTTTACTCAAGTAATATTCTAAACGGTGACTTCAACTTCTACCAAAGTCATTTTCTGGTAAGATATCTGTACTTTTACTTGAGTATGGCTTTCAGATACTTTATACACCACTGCGCCTCATTTTATTATAACGCTGCTTCTAACTTTGGCTGGTTACTCAACCGTAATGACAGTAGGCAAAGCAAATTTTTACCATGAATATGAATGAATGTTTCAGCTGTCATCACAGACTGGGAAGTGGCTTGTAAATCCAGTCTATTTACAGATGTCAGTAGACCTATTTTTGTCTTCAGTTCATTTAGTAGTTGCAAAGCACTCCTATAATAGGTTGTGGAGTAAGCGAGGCTAGTTGAGCTATGGTCCTACTTTGGCATGTCACTGATTGTGAAAAAATATGCCCTGTTGATCCTGTAGTTGAATTTAATCTAACCTACTTCCTATGTATGAACAGTATGGCACTGTAGGTTACACAGCAATAACAAACTACCTGTTCTTGATTTGCATGTCATGTAAAACCCTAGAACTGTATTTTTCCACCAATCAATTGAATGAAATAAGCTAAAATAACTGAATACAAGCAACAAGGCAAAACACATTTTAGTGGAGCAAACATTTTGTGATTTTATTTTTCTTCATCTCATATATTATTTAGGAAGTTGCTCTCTGTGGGAAAAGAAATGAGGGGAACAAGAATCTCTCAAAACAGATAAATAATGTGAGAAATAATTGAATATTTCACATTGCTAGAGCAACCTATTACATATGAATTTTGTAGCTGTGATATGTGGTCAGATGAGATTCAATCGTGATTTGATCACAGAAAACACAGGCCAGTGTTTTTCACAAAGCACCCCTTCAAATCCTTTGCACAGCCCATGACTCCTATAATTAGGCCACATGTGTCGACCTGTCCTCACTACAGAGCTTAGATCTGCTGACATCTTTCCCACATTTAAACCCAAGTGTCCTCAGTTAAGTTTGGAGATGATTCCAATTCAGTGTTGCCAAATGTGAAACATAGAAGGGCTGTTAAAATGAAATGGATATCTGGTAGGATTAGTTAGTTGCAACTGACTGAACTCTGGGGTTGTACAGTTTAAAGACCAAAGAATATGATGCCCTTTTGCAGACCCAGGTGTATTCAGTGCTGCCAACACACCTTAAATTTCCTTACAATATTGCCAAATTCCAGCACAATAATGTGCAAATATTCAGATACACAAACCAAACACATGCATACGTACTGTACGTGCAAAACATAAACTTACTGCGCGATGCAACGCAGTGCGGCTTCTTCTGTCTCCAGTGTCTGGATTACTTCCTCTCTCAAGCAGCATGTGGACACAGTCAATGTGACTGCCCAGTGTAGCCAGCATCAATGGAGTCCTACAGATACCATCAAACTATGCTTACAATAGCAATACTTCAAACAATTCAAAAAAGGAACAAAGAGATAAAAATGGGGGAAACAATATGTTAATGGATTCTCACAGCATATTACTGAACGTTGAGCTTTGTCATCAAACAGGAAAAAGACTTGAATGTGCAGGTTTGAATGCTTGACATTGTACGTGGATATGTGAGGCTTGCATGCAGCTGCTCGGCCACGGAAAGCCAATCCATGAAGCTCCCGGCGGACAGCTTTTGCCAGTGGAAGTCTGGAAGCTATGAAATCTGCAGAGCATTGGGGATTTTTACGCACCATACGCCTCAGCACTCGGTGATCCCACTCTGTGACTTTACCTGGTCTTCTGCTTCATGGCTGAGTTGATGCTGTTCTTAAATGCTTCCACTTTCCAATAATACCACTTACAGACTGTGGAATATCTGGCAAGGATTAAATTTCACAAACTGACATCTTGCAAAGGTGGCATCCTATTTTATTCACATGTTTGTAAATCCAGACTGCATGGCTAGGTGCTTGATTTTAAATGTGGCAATGGGTGTGGTTGAAACACTTGAATATATATATATATATATATATATGTATATACAGTGGTGGCCAAAATTATTAGAACACTAGTATTTTCAGCAGCTAAAAAATGGTTTTAAGTCGGTTATTTCTATCTTTTGCTGTAATGTGTCAGTAGGAAATATCAGTTTACATTTTCAAACATTAATTTTGCCATTCATTGTAATAATCCAGTGAGATTTTTGTCTGACAACAGCCAGTGCTCCACACAGAGATCTGATCTGATCATCATCCAGTCTGTCTGGAATGACATGAAGAAACAGAACAAACTGAGACAGAAGTCTAAATCCAGAAGAACTGTGGCAACGTCTCCAAGATGCTGTAAGAGACCTACCTGCATTCCTAATTTGTGCCCTGCCATTTTTGCAGCGGCACCCGGGGAGCAACTGGGGGTTCGGTGTCTTGCTCAAAGGCACCTCAGTTGTGGGTAATGAGGGTTGAAGATAGCGCTGGTCATTCGGTCCACCCACCTACATTTCTTGCCAGTACTGAGACTCGAAACTGCGACCTCTGGGTTACAAGTCCGGCTCTCTTACCATTAGTCCACAACTTCCCTTAGGAGCCTCAAGATTTGACCTAAGTTCTACCAGCATGTTACTGTCCCCACAAGGCACAGCAGGAGACAATCATGTCTAGACTGATGTACAGGATGCTCAGAGATCCTGGGATAAATAGAGCCTACAGTAGCTGTCATACACCTAGGATCCAGGAACACTTGGAGACCCTCAGTGCGTGTGGAAAGGACTAAAGGAACAGACAGCAGTGCTGCTTTTACTGCACAGAACAACTTTTTTTGCATGTTTTGAGGACTCTAACAGCAACCCAGTCATGGAAATCAACCCACCAGCAGATGACCAGGGGCCTCATTTATAACCATTGTGTACGCACAAAACCTGCCCTGAAAGAGGCGTACGCCACTTCCTACGCAAAAGGTGGGATTTAGAAAAAAACAAACTTGACGGGAAAATTTGCGCACCTGCACGCAAACTCTGACCCATGCGTACGGACTTTTTTTCCTGGAGAAAGAAAAGTAATGAAGTAAACAATGATTTTAAAGTTGAAGCAGCTATGTCAGGGAGATGCTGTGTGTTTCTAGGCGAAAGCAAAAGCACTTTATTTGGTCTTTCCGAAAGTAGATGCATTTAGGAATCTTTAAGATTACTTACAACAGAACAGCAATGCATTTTATGGACGACCGTTTCGTGAACCTAGGAGAGGAGGTAATTCTGACTTTGCTATGACAATCTGGCGCTTCTGAATCAGCTACTGTTTTGTTATTAGTTTAAGTATTTGCTATTGACTGTTCAAATGCGGAGTTTTGCGCAGCGCAGAGTAACGCGTTGTGTGTGTGTGTGAGAGGGGAACAGGGTCACATCACAGGAGAGTGAACTGCCTGTCAGAAATCATAGCACGTCAGCTGTCTTAACCACGGTTTGTGTACTGCATCATCACTGTGTCTGTCACGCGACTCTGTTCCCCTTTCGGGCTCTGTCTTTACATTTATTTTGAAAGATGAAGCTCGCGATAATGGTAAGGGGTGTTACATTTCCGACGCGTGCTTGTGGTGTTCGGCCAATCACAATGCACTGGGTCAGCTGGCCAATCAGAGCAGACTGCGCTTGTCAAAGGAGGGGGCTTTGTTGAAAACGACGTGTTTGAGAGAGGCGGGGCATAGAGGACCTACAATAATGTACAGTATTTGAAAAATAATGTGTTTTTTGAACATTAAAGCAGTCAGCATATTCTGTTACACCAAATACACAAAATAATGATCTTTAAAATAGCATCATATGACCCCTTTAAACTGTTTTCATTTCATCATATACATTTACATTGAATATTCCACTCTTATTAATGGAGATAAACGCTGAAATTACATAAAGTCATTACGCAGAAGTTAAAACACAATTATATGAATTTAGACATAGCCTATTTGTAGTGGATGCGCTTGATTACCTTTCCTGTGGTATGTTACGTTTTAATGACAGCGAGGAGTGCACTTACTTCTATATTGTGGCGGACACTGCTGGATTCGGTGGAACGGTCTATTGTCTGGTTTGAATAGGACCAATGATAATCGCTTAATGTACAACCACAGCTGCACGGAAGTGTTGATGTCATGTGAAGGCATCTCCACAACATTATGAAAAATACCACTGTATTTGAAGGATACAACTTGAAGAAAACGGTAAGATTTGCATGTTTCCTTTTTAAAATAATTTGTCAATGACGCGCAGAGTCAGATAATTGTATTTACACTGCAATAAATATAGGCTTATATTTTTTTACATTGAAAATGGCTAAAAGATGCTCACCTTATCAGCAAAACTGCATTAATTTAATTTAATTTGAATTTTTAAAACAATTGAAATATTATTGGGCCAGTGGAAATGAATGAGATCAACTCTATTATTTTTTAATTATTTTTAATTATTTTTCTGAGAACTATTTTAAACAGATTTTTTATGAATATTTTGATATATTTATTCTAAAACATAACAAGGATACCGGATGATTTTTAGCAATAAAAATGAATGTGTATGGCACAAATGGCATTTATAGTCCGTATCTCATATTTCCTTAATGTCTTGTACCTTTGATGGTGTTAAACATGGTGTCACGTGGATGGGAATATGCATAGAAATTATATGCAGATGAGGTTATGCATAGTAAAACTTGGCGGTGTAAGCTCCATATATGGTGATTTCGGGGAGGAGTCGGGGTGGAGATGCACGTACGCACAATCTTCCCCTGACTGGGATTTATAAGGGGATGTTTGCGCAGGTTCTGGCGTACGCATGGTTTTATAAATCTGAAAACTTTTGAGCGTACGCAAAATCTAGCTTTTGTGCCTACGTACACTTTTAGGATGAAATCTACGGAGAGTTTTATAAATGAGACCCCAGGTGCTTACATCAGCTGAAGTAAATAGGACTCTGCAAAGAATTAACCCACGCAAGGCTGCAGGCCCAAATGGCATCCCTGCCTGAGTGCTGAAAGAATGCTTGATCTAGCTGATTGATGTATCTTTTAACTACAGTATTCTCTAGTACAGCCTGTTGTCCCAGCATGCTTCAAAACTGCCACCATCACCCCATGCCATAGAAATAATCAATAACCTGCCTTTATGACTACTACCCTGTGGCACTCACACCAATTGCCATGAAATGCTTCGAGCGGCTAGTCATGAGTCAAGACCATCATCCCACCCACACTGGACCTTTTACAGTTTGCCTTCAAACGCAACTGCAAATGCCATATGTCACATCCTCTCAGACACTGAGTCAGAATGCTGTTCATTGACTTAAGCTCACTCTGCAACTGGATCCTGGACTTCCTGACTAACAGAAATGAGTCTGAAATGAGGCCTGTGTTCTCAGCACCTTAATGTTCATGTTACTCATTCATGACTGTGTTGGCCAGTATCAGAAAAACCACATTATCAAGTTTGCTGATGACACAACAGTGGGCCTTATTACACACAACAGAGTACAGAGAGGAGGTGAGAAACCTTGAGCTGTGGTGCAAAGACAACAAAAATATTTTTAGCTTGGTCAGCTGCTGGTAGTAAGTTGGGTACTTTTTTTTTTTGGTTATATTTAGTGCAAAATGCAATTGATGGGGTAACGGAAATATTTGAAATTCATCGTGACATTCAAAGTTCACAAAGTAATTTATTTTTTATTAAATACTATTTTTGGCAAAAGACTGATTTAGTACGGAAGTTCTAAGCGGCCATGCAATATATTTTTTTCCCTTCTTGTTTTCTCGTTATAACGACTTAATTTTCTCGTTATCTCGACATAACGAGAGTTGTTTTCTCGTTATAACGACTTAATTTTCTCGTTATCTCGACATAACGCATAAAGTTTTATTATGTTTTAATGATTGGATTGCACAAATGCAGCCATCACTCTATAGTATAGAGTCTATACTATGCTGTTTACTCTGGTTATGTTATATTACGTAGCAGTCATCATTTACTCCCGACATCTGAGTAAAATGCGTCTGCGTCTGAGAAGACGCAGTGGATTATGCTTGTTTTTGAAGGGAATGCGCCTCCCAATCTACATAAATGCATTTATGTTCGCACAAATCATTCGTGATCCAGCTTCACCTACAGAAGAAGTGAGTATAAGGTTTTTTTTTACGAATCTTTGCAAATCGCCTTTCCTAATAATGTGCTAGTTAGCCAGTTCCACAGCTAAAGTTAACAGGCTCTCAAAGGAACTAGTCAGCCCATGGAAGAGAGGGGCGGGGTGAGCAGAGCTCATTAGCATTTAAAGAGACATGCACCGAAACAAGTCGCTGTGAACAGAGCAGTTTTTGACAGGGTAAAAGGGTGTTGTTTTACACTACCATTGAGAAATTTTAACCAAAGTATGTTATAGACTTTTCATGAAGGCCCTAAAGAATCATACCAACTTGTGGAAAATGGGCATCTGATGACCCCTTTAAAGCAGTACTGAGGTGAAGCTCACTGACTCGTAAGTCGACTTCCCTCTTCACTTTCTGTGATGTTCTGCTTAATTTCGTAATTTTGTAAATGCAGTGTATGATCATGCTATATCACTGAAATGAATGTTGAAATGGTACTTACTGTCCATGTATGTCCATGAGGTCAAATATGTCATTTTTTTCGTCTCTTTGCAACATCATGAGCAGGCAGTCAGTTTGACCACTGGCAGCTATGAGGATAAATCAATGGGTTAAATAAAGTTAAAAATGTGATCTACAGTCTCTTGTACCAATTCATAGTTTGGCCCTCCCACAGCTCTGTAATGATGTACGTCTAACTGAGCTTTAACAAACCAAACATTTGACTTGACTGTCACAACCAATCATTAAAAAAAGTTTTGAAAACTAGTTTAAATTACACAGTACCTCATTCCCGATAACACACAAGAGCCTTGGTAAGACTATAGCACAAAATATAGAGCAAATGTATAATATTAATATGCTATATTAGTAGAGTGCCTTTACTGATTGAACCTTTGAACTAACTTCTCAGTCATTACACTCAGTCATTTGTTCCTTTACATGTTAATATCTTTACCTACCTGAAGCATGTAGTGGTGTCCATCTGTGGATGTGCTCCCTGATGGCATACGAGGCCCCTTGAAGCAGCAGCAGCTCCACACAGGGGCCGTGACCTCTCAGAGCAGCCATATACAGAGCTGTATGACCCCTGGGATCCTGTATGTCTACATTAACCAGTGTTTCGGACAGCACCTGAAGAGCTTCACTGTGACCATTATACGCCTGATAGAAACAATTTATCATCATTCATATCTTCTTTTACTATCAATTCATGAGTAATTTGAATAGAATTGGCTTTTCCACACAGGATGTTGAATTTACTGGATTACTTCAACTGGCAATGGCTTATTTTTTATGTTTCGAGCAAGGCTCAAAGTTTGTCTTCGCGAATTTCCCTTTTCTAGTTAACAAAAAATACATTTGTAGCAGTTCCATGAATTTTAATGCATTTTAATTCTACTTAAATTCACATTCCATTTGTAATGACAACTGCATCAGAGAAGAGAGAAAAGAGATTGACTAGAGACGGGAGTACTCACCGCTAAGTGAAAAGGGCTCACAGGAACACAACTCTCCACATCTTCCACACATTTGAAAGACATTTCTATGAGCTAATAAGAAATGTTTATTGCCAGTTCACTCAAAGTGACATACAGTACAAGAGCACAAACGTTTCTCAAAAAGCATTTGCTTAGTTGACAATGTGTGCCAGCCAGTGCTTTAGATAACAAAATACCAAAGAAAGTGGCATCAGCAAACAAATGATGCCCAAAGAGATTTTCTCAGACATAACTTTGGTACACCAAGCCAAGCTACTCAGTTCTCCTCAAGAGTAACCACAGTTATAGTTTACCTTCACATTAATTATGGGCATGATCCATGTTTCATTAATGTTTAACAATTCAATTCTTTTTGTATTCAAAAAACAATACTTGTTTACTTGTAACATTTTAACACTAAAATGATTGCACCAGCGTAAATCCTCTTTTGGTATTAAAAAAACTGCTGTCAGCATTTAAAGAATACAGTGAAAGAAATAGTGATGAAAAGGCTTTTTTTTTTTTTTGCTGTCCTTATTGCATATGCATTTGTAGATGTTTCCCCTTCAGACACAAAATGTATGGGAGGAGAGTATTTAAATGAGTCATGCACTGTGATTTAATAAGGTTTGTGGTAGTCAATTTACTGGTATGTGCAAAATTATTTAACACCCCAAAAAACAAGTCTTAACCACCTATTATGCGCCTGTGTTATTAGTTAAAAAACACGCACCCGTTTATCATCAGTTGTGCTGTAACCCTACAATATTCTGCATTTCTGAATGATTCCCAGATGATTTCCAATGATTTCGTTGATCGTTATGGAAATGATCAGGCTTTATCTGTGTCCTTTAATTTGCACATTGTCCGTAGATCACCTGCAGAATTTTTCACTCCCATTTGCATTTTTTGGCAATGGACATTATGTATTTTCTAATTGCATTTTGCTGATCTCTACTGTGAACGATTCATCCATGCATACAGTTTTTTCTTTTTTTTTTATCAAAACGTAGTTCTGACATTCAAAATCTCAGATATTATGTATGCTGGACTTCTTATAGGAGTAATATGATTCAGTTTTTTTCCACTAGACAGAACTGGCAGGTGTGAAAACATCAAACTACATATCGAACTAAAAGACACACAAAATTCTACTCACATGTCCCATAATTCACATAATACATGGTATACCATGAAAAGAGTTTTCTTACCAATTTTAGGTTGTGTCTGTCACCACAGGCAGCTGCGTAGTGGACTGGACTGAAGCCTTTACTGTCACGCAGCGTTGGATCAGCACCACTATGCAAAAGAAACTCCAAACACCTGTAAGAACATGTAACACATAAGGGGTCATGTACTATTAAGCTTATTAACAGTTAGTCATTTTATTTTCAAATCCCAAAAGATGCTTTACCACTGAGCTTCTTCATCAGTCTCACTGTCAGGACAGTTCTGTTCAACTCTATTGGGGGAAAAATATACACAAAGGTAAGTCCTATTTTAAATGAGTTGAATAAATAAATATGAATTTGTACTGGTATATACATCTCACATTAAATCGTTAACGGTGGATGTCAAGGTTTTCAGAAAATAAGTAACATTTTAGTCTGTTCCTCACACAAATCTTTTCCTATGGCTTCTGAAGACCTGAAATACAGTGAATTCATTGTATGGACTATTTATGCCATTGTATTCATTCTAATTTGACAGAATAGGCTGACCGGTACTTTCATTGAGAGTTTTCCTTCCACACATAAAACACATAGGTTTATAAATAATGACAGTATTTAAATTTTTGATTAGACATGGACAATGTCAAAACACCCAAATAAAATAGCCCACTGATTCTACCCACTTCACTTCAGCCACAGTCCTGTGTTTATTGAACAAAAGAGCAGGTGAGTCGAGGACCAAAATTAAGGGTCAATATGACTAAGAGAGCTACCAGAGTGAAATCGCAGAGGGAGTGCAGTATATGGGCACATGCACATGTCTATAACCACCAAGGCCAGAGGAAAACTAGAGAGCAGTGGGCACAGGGCAGGTGGACAGAGAATGGCAACAGAGCTGAACAGGACTGGGCAGGACAAGACTAGCCTGGACTTAGTCAGCAAAAATAATCTTGTAAAGAAACAAAAGACTAGATGGTAATAAAAAGCAGAGAGGATCAACATTAAGAAAAGACAGGTGACAAATTTAAAAATGTACTTATTTTTAGCACATATTCAAAGTTCTCACAAGTCTGCTCTGTCATTATAGGCTATGGAGTTTGTACCGATGCGATGAAGCATTACAGCATAGGGCTGACAGAACAAAATGTGGAAAAATGCAGGGGTCTGAATACTTTCCGAATCAGCTGTACGCAGGGCAGTGTTATAAGTGTTATACCTGTGTGAGGTTTGGGCAGCAGCTGCGTAGTGCAGTGGACTGCATCCATTCACATCCAGTTCATTAACATCAGCTCCAGCTTTCACCAGAGCCACTGTACACAGATATGAGCCGTTCACGGATGTGTAGTGCAAAGGAGACCTGTGAAGAATTAAATGAAAGATTTTGCACTCTTTCTAGGTCACTAAGCCAATGTGAGTAACTTTATGACACTGTCCATTTTAAAAATAAATCTGATTTCCTTGTTTGTATTAGTGCTGTCAAATGATTAATCGCGATTAATCGCATCCAAAATAAAAGTTTATATATGCGTAATAAATATACACAGTACACACATATTATGTAAACAAAAACTTTTATTTCGGAAGCGATTAATCGCGATTAATCGTTTGACAGCACTAGTTTGTATTAAAGCATATTAGACACATTAATAATCTTATGTGCACAAGATTCACACTGTGAATATATAACTATATATATAAATTTTATTGGTTAATAAAGACTTTACCTTCCAAAATTGTCCAATAGACACACATGCATGAATATATTCAAGAAAAATATGTTAGGTTTATATATTAAATATATTTACATACAATATAAATTATATGAAAATAAATATATACATGTAAATATTTTCTATATATATACTGTATGTGTGTGTATTTATACATGCATAATAAATAAACACAGTACATATACATATAGTATGTAAACAAAAACTGCGATTAATCGTTTGACAGAACTAAAACATAAGTTTTAAGGTTTTGAAACCCTCTAAAGTATGAGCAAACAGAACCAGTGCTGCTCGACTGAACAAACACCACTAATTAAACAGAACTGTGTTTGGTTTGACAGCACTAGTTTGTATTAAAGCATATTAGACACATTAATAATCTTATGTGCACAAGATTCACACTGTGAATATATAACTATATATATAAATTTTATTGGTTAATAAAGACTTTACCTTCCAAAATTGTCCTTTTTATTCAAAGCAGCACCACTGTTTAACAGCAATTTAAGACATTCAACATTTCTGTCAGTGAACAAAAAACAAAGGATGAATAACTAAATTGTATATTTAAAAAAATATAACTTACAAACTATAAGCACATAAGTGGTAGACATTTCGCATACCCGCCTGAAGCAGCTACATGCAAACATGTCCTTCCCAGGCTGTCCACGGTGTTTATATCAAACCCTGCCAAGAGTAAATGTTTGTTAGACAAACATACACTTTTAGACGGGTGACATATATCTGGTTTAATGTCAAAGCAATGGGATAGTGCTTATGCATTGTACATCATTTTGGATATAAGCATCTGCCAGCTGTCATATGTATATGATTTTTACCTGAGGAGAGTAACTTTTGACAACAGTCTGAAAATCCGTAAAACACCGCCAAGTGCAATGGAGTCATGCCATTAATGCCTCGCCTATAAGATGGACAGTTATTGTAAAAGCATATTACAATTTAAATAAGCATTTGTATTTTTTAAACATATTCTCAAAAGAAACTGAGTGGTAGACATTTAGCATACCCGCCTGAAGCAGCTACATGCAAACATGTCCTTCCCAGGCTGTCCACGGTGTTTACATCAAACCCTGCCAAGAGTAAATGTTTGTTAGACAAACATACACTTTTAGACGGGTGACATATATCTGGTTTAATGTCAAAGCAATGGGATAGTGCTTATGCATTGTACATCATTTTGGATATAAGCATCTGCCAGCTGTCATATGTATATGATTTTTACCTGAGGAGAGTAACTTTTGACAACAGTCTGAAAATCCGTAAAACACCGCCAAGTGCAATGGAGTCATGCCATTAATGCCTCGCCTATAAGATGGACAGTTATTGTAAAAGCATATTACAATTTAAATAAGCATTTGTATTTTTTAAACATATTCTCAAAAGAAACTGAAGATATGTCATGACTGAAACCATCACATTCGATCTGTAGCCATTAATTACTTTCAATTCATTCCAAGGCTCATTCTATAAAAATATAGCAACATAATATTTTAAATTTAACATACTGATTTAACATAATTTAACATATTAAATACTGACTAAGCCCGACTAAACTGCGTGAATCCACATACATGCAGAAAACAATAAATGGAAGTGGACACAAACTCTGAAGTGTCTGTTCTGCTGCAGTAGTCTCTGTGTTTGAATGCTTTTGTAAAGACACACCTGGCCACATCCGCACCGTTATTCAAGAGTGTAGTGATGAGCAACTCATGACCATGTTTAGCAGCAGAGTGAAGAGGAGTATTACCATATATATCAACACACTCCACCTCTGCACCTGCAAGAGAAAAAAAATAAAAGACTGTTATTACAAGATTGGCAATGCCTTTAACAGAGAGTTCATCAGACAGGTGAGTTCCTAACATACGTTATGTTGACAAATGTGATGGTACTGCAGTGCAGTCACGGTGTCATTGGTGACAGTATAAGAATGTTTAGTTAATGGGAGTTAACAATATGAAGTAACCCTTTACAATTACAATTGCTATGCTAGTCCACCAGTGAGTCAAGTAAAGTCATTTCTAATCGTACAGAGCTTTTTACAGTGTACTTTGTTTCACAGTAGCTCAACAGGAAAATACTGCTGTAAAATCTGGTCTAACTAGTATTAAGCTCTTAACATTTGTGCTTTGAGCGTGGCTTTACCATTTTGAAGGAGTATCTGGGAACGGGTGAAGTGTCCGTGAATGGCAGCCACATGCAAAGGACTCTTCCCGGCTTTATTCTGAAATCAAAACGAGAAAGGTCAGAGAAAAACACTGCAATAATCACCTGCTCATTTCGAGTTGTCTACTGACCGGAATGTGAACATTTGCCCCGTTATTGACCAGCAGCTCCAGACACAGGACTCCATCAGCGGAGGCAGCAGACAGATGCAGCGGCGTGCATCCACGCACGTTTGACCGGTTAACACTGGCACCACAGTTAACCAGCTCACTAGCTACAGCCCTTTGCCCAGCGTAACAAACCATGTGGAGAGCACTGTTACCAGAGCCATCTGCTTCATCAATCTAACAGACAAAATGAAAGACAAAACAAAAATCATAATGGATTCTGTCTCTGGTGCACAATTCATGAGGGCACATTGGTTTTTACAAGTTAACTCCTTGTTCTTTCAAAACCTTAAAGCCATAGCTCACCCAAAAATGAAACAATCATCATTGACTCACCCTCATGTCATTCCAAACCTGTATACATTTCTTTCTTCTTACAACAGAATGTTTTTTTCCTCCTCTTCAGTAGAACAGAATGTTGGAACTCGCTGATTGATAAAACAGTTCACATTCTTCTTTTCCATTCCGGTGAAAAATAGTAGTGCAGGTTAGGAACAACACGAGCGTAAGTGAATGATGACACAATATTTGACTATCCCTTTAAGAATTGATTTCTCATGATGTGACCCCCTGGAATAATATTTATTTCCAATGTAATAACTTTCTCTGCCTCTGAAACAACTTTCTTTACCAGGGATGTAATTAAGACTACATGGGCAGGCCAGGTAACGAAACTAACCAATAATATCACAGCCTAACATGTTCCACCCCCACTCTGAATAAACCAATCTGAAAGACTACACAGTATGGAAGTTAAAAGCATTGAAAATATAAATATAACTTTAAAGGGAAAAATATAATTATAAATATAGCATTTTAATGAAAAAGCCATCATTGTAAATATTTAAGTAATCAAGTACCAGTAGAAATATTTCAGAATGCCTTCGGACATTATGTAACATTGCTGACAAACAAACAGACGAGGATGATGCTGTAGAAAACCCAAGTACAGTTTATTATAATTGTGATAATCAAGAAACATTACTGTAAACTACTAACTTGATCCTGACATAAAAAAACATAAACGTGAACTATGAACTTGACTATAAATAATGACCTGGTGCTACTTTAATACATGACACCCAACATGGCAAACAAGAGGGCTTAAATACAAAACAATGGGAATCACAATAACCGCTAGCAAAAGAGAACTGATAACCACATAACAAGACATAGGCGCCCATTTATGTTTCTGCTGGTGGGTGCAACCATTTGGGACAAAAAATGCTCATTCACAATTCAATTAAATCTATAACGGCTGTCACACATAAAGTGAAAATGAAATGCAGCATTAAGTTTAGATCAGCTCTTGTTGCATTAGATTTCTTTTTACAAATTTTTTTTTACAGCATTAAGCATTATAACCAATCACACACGATTCTGCTGAGCTTATGAATGCAATGGCCAATCAGAGGCGTCCAGATTAGTCATCATAATTTTCTCGCTGTTTGAATAACCGTGGAAATGAAACCGCATTATTTTTAGTAACGTACAATGTTTTTATTAAATTTGTGATCATGTTAAATTCAGTCGTATTAAAATTATTTTATGACATGACACCCATATCTGGTACTATGGTACATATCTGGTAAAAGACGGGTTTATGATGCACGTAGTTAACAGATATTGGGCTACCCTCCGCTTATGATTCAAGTTATTTGTCTTGCGAAGAGAAAAAATGGACTGCAAATAAATTACAAAGTGTCAAGTCGTCAGATATTTAGCAGTCGTGACATTACCAAACAGGAAAAATGTGTAATGGACACCTTGCGGATGTAAATAAAGTGTTTTTTGTGTGTTTTAACATTGGCCAGCCACATATCAAGTTGTTTATCACTTATCAGAGCTGTTGAAACTGAAGATTCACAAAAGAGTCCATCCAACATGCTTCTGTTTTCCAAATAAAATCAGGACACGATGTGAGACCACAGGGAGTTTCCCGAATCTTAATTGATTTTTCAATGGCTTAAAGTTAACGGAGAACATATACAGAGTTCTGGCATGAAACTCTAGATGGCGCAGTCCGATAGGTCTAACTCAATCTGACCTAATGACATCATTATCACATGGCACAGCTGATTAGGCCAATGTGCTCGCTGCTCAACATTCAAATATATGACTAGAGCTTGCCATAGCAGTTGCAGCTTGCTTCAGAAACCCTCCACCTTCCCCAGCTCCACCTGTATAGATCTGCTACGAGGTGATTCACGTATGCTATATGGGGGTTATTTCATGTATGTTATATTTGCAGCAGCAATATTTCTTACATGCTCACAGCTGCATGCTGTGGATGTATTGGCAGTAGCAAATCTCTGTATTTACTCTGCCGCAGCAGCAGCAGCGTAGCAGATCTGTTCCGCCAAGACCAAATACATTAACATTGTCATGTACATTACCATTACTCCGAGAGTTGTCATGACAGAACTAGTATTTTTCTGTGGGTGCTCAGCCATTTAGGGATTGGCGCCCATGTGACAAGACAATGACCCAATGAAAACATGACACATAAACAAGCAGGAAACAGAGATCTAGCACTAATATATGATCCCTCACCTCTGCTCCATGTTTCAGCAGGTACTGGACCACTTCAGTGTGTCCACCGAGAGCAGCCGCATGTAGAGGAGTAAACCCCTGCTTGTCCCTGCAGGACACATCAGCACTACACGCTACTAAGAGCCTGACGACCTCCAGATGCCCTGAACAACAGACACAACCAGATAACACACTAGTGAAATGAAATATATTCTGATTAGATGTCTATATGTGACTCTGGACCACAAAACCTGTCATAAGTGTCTTTTTACATTTTTTTATTGAGATTTATACATTATACATAAATAAGCTTTCCACTGATGTATGGTTTGTTAAGATAGGACAATATTTGGCCGATATACAACAATTTGAAAGTCTGGAATCTGAGGTTGCAGAAAAATCTAAATATTGAGAAAATCACCTTTAAAGTTGTCCAAATAAAGTCCTTAGCAGTGCATATTACTAATCAAACATTAGGTTTTGATATATTTACGGTAGGAAATTTACAAAATATCTTCACGGAACATGATCTTTAATTAATATCCTTATGATTTTTGGCATAAAAAAAAATCTAGCATTTTGACCCATACAATGTATTGTTGGCTATTGCTACAAATATACCCCTGCTACTTATGACTGGTTTTGTGCTCCAGGGTCTAATATAATAAACTTATTATTTGAGGCAGGAATTCAGAGTCAGAGGACCAGATACCTAGATGAGCAGCCAAATGGATAGGCTGCCTGTCCTTTATGTCTCTGGCACTCACGTTGGCTCCTTTATTTAGGAGCAGTGTCACTGTCTAAGAACATTATTAATTAGTCTTCAAGACAATTTCTTTTTTTCTTCTTTCTTAACATGCACACCTCAACAGGAATAAAGTGTTTCGGATAAATCCTCTATGAAATGTCCACTACATTCAGTGTCAGCTCTTGCCAAACCTCTGCATGTCCACTGTGGACTGCGTGATGTAAAGCGGTTCTCCCGAAGCGATATGCTGCATTCAGACTGCTCACGTAAGGAATCAGAGTATCGACACACTTCATCGCTCTGTTGGCTGCAGCTACATGCAGCGCCGTCTGACAGAACCTGTCCTGCGCGTTCACCTCGGCTCCCTTTCTCAGCAGCAGCACAACAGACCCCTGCATTTAAAGTAATACAAAATGAGAGACAAAGACACAATAAACAGCGAAACGATTTTTAAAAATCCTCTCTTACTTCATTCTGTGAGGCAGCTGCTCGATGCAGAGGAGTCAGCCACTCCTGGTCTTTAGCATTAACATCAGCACCTGAGACCACAACATCACAGGCAATCAAAGACAAAATACAGTGTTAAAGACTAAATATTCTAACACTTTAGTATAAGGACCAATTCTGGCTATTAACTAGTTGCTTATTATTAACATATTGGCTGTTTATTAGTACTTCTAAAGCCCATATTCTGCATCTGCATGACCATATTCTACATTCCTAATCCTACCCAATACCTAAACTTAACAACTACCTTATGAACTATTAATAAGCAGTAAATAAGGAGTTTATTGATGCAAATATCATTGTTAATAGTTAAGTTAATGGTGAGAACTGAACATTTAAAATAAAGTGTGACCCAAAATATTCTACAATGAATGTTTAGTTTAAAAAAACTTCAATCACTTATACACTTGAAATAATTACTATTTATTTGATCAAATGCAGTAAAAAGAGTATTGTGAAATACTAATACAATTTAAAAGAGACATTTTCTATTGATGCAATGGCAAAGCTGAATTTTCAGCATCATAACTCCAGTCTTCAGTGTCATATGATCCTTCGGAAATCTTGCTAATATGCTGATTTGCTGCTCAAGAATTATTTGAGAATTTATTATTATAAATGTTGAAACAAGTTGTGCTGCTTCATATTTTTGGGTAAACCGTGACAAACTGCCGTTCAAACATTTGAGGTAATTACAATTTGAAAAAATAAATAAATAACAATCAAAATAATACCTTTATTCTGCGAGGACATTCAATTAATCAGAAAATAAATGCTATAAAAATCTGCAAAAACAGTTTATTATTATTCATTTTTTATTCCTTTATTATACATTTATAATAAAACCATTATAAATAATTGAGCACAAATAACAACCGATAACAAGTGGACAACAAATCAGCATGTTAGAATGATTTCTGAAGGATCATGTGAGTAATGGCGGCTGAAAATTCAGCTTTACAGCAATACATAAAAATAAAACTACATTTTAAAACAAAAACAATTCCGAATACTTTCGATTATCAAATTATTTCATTCTTTTAAGTTGTACTAATAATTCACAATAAATCCTTTTTATTGTATTTGTGGTGAAATTTCTCAAAACATTGACTGGTAGTGTAACTTCTGAAATAAAGCACAATTGGATGAGTATCTTTTTATACCGGTGCAAGGACACACACTCCACTAACACTCATGCTGGCCAGTCATGTAAAACAACCAGAGTGGTTTTCTGTTCATGTCTGTAACTGTTCGTCCATAAACCTCAGATATTCCTGATCTCACCTGAACTGATGAGGAGGTCCATGATATAAACACCACCAACATAAGATGCAGCATGCAATGCAGTGCGGCACTCGTGGTCCTGCAACAACAAATGACTGTACCTCAGGTTATAATTTACAAGAAAAATGTTTGTATTCACTCTACATTTTTAATCAAAAGCATTTAATAATTTTAGTAATCAGGTTTGTGGATTTATGGTTTCTTATAAAGAAATAAAAGGATTAAAGGAATTTTAACATTTCTTCAAATAAGACTATTTCTTCAAGACAAACCCCGCGTACCAATTCATTGACTTCTTCATTTTGCTCCAACAAAAATTCCACCATTTCAGCATTCTGGCTAAATACTGCCTGGACAAGGAGTGACTAAAAGAGAGAAAGACAGACAGATTCAGGATCAGTGTAGCAATACTTTAGCGAAGAAAGTATTAGGGGTGGGAATTCTGGTTCAAAATCATTGCCTAAACATTGCCCTGGATTTGAGTATATGAAATATAATGGAAGTCAAAATTGGAACTTTTTATGGTCCCCCAAAACTTGTGTCTTGTATTCCATACTACTGAAGCCAATGGGGTTTTGTTACCCATATTCTTCTAAATATCTTCTTTTGTGTTCGGCAGAAGAACTGAATTCTGGTTTGCCAAATGATGGCAAAATTTTAATTTGGGTGAAATATCCCTTTAAGTTTGATAAATATCCCTTTAAGCCTTTGGTCAGTTTCATTTCTTTTTGTTTGTTCATTCATTTACAAGTACTGAATCAAAAACAAATGTTTTGTAAACTATAAAAAACACGCTTTTGCCATTTTAGAGGCAAAACTAGTAGTTACATTTGAGTTAATTTTATAATTTGTGTCAATGTCAAGTAAACATAGGCCTACAACAAGTCTTAAATAAACATACTCAAAATATCTGCAATGTTGAAAAAATGTGCATTTCTCCCCTATGCAGGGATACACACATACCTATCGCAAATGATTTCAATCCACTAAAGTCAGCTAATGACCGACATGTGGTTTTTCACAGACAGCGCAATAGGTTACTATTACGAGACGGGTATAACCAGAGCCGGGGTCTGGGTATAACTAGTTTTACAGTGACGGTTTTCCTCTGGCTGTGTATAAGGGAAGTATATTAAAAATCTAACTGAAACATACTAGAGAGAGCCAGTCATACTAAGCCTGTCTTCCATGCTGCTGAGAAAACTAACACGAAAAGCAGTTCTTGCCGCTTACCTGCTCGCTTATCTTTAATACTCCCATCTCCACAGATCAGTCAGGTCGGAGTTTATTCATTAGGATATGATAATGAAGTAATGATTCTATGTTTTAGGCCGATAATAATGAACGGTAACTAGTGAGCGGATTCACTAGACTAGAGCAACTGCGCTGTAATATGAAGCTGCTGGTTTACAGCGCCGTCTACTGTAAAACAGAAATGAGTGGAGCACCTGTTGCTGGTGGCCCACTCAGTCGTGGTTCTCAGACCTGGTCAGTCTGCTAGCGGGCCCTCCATGGGAGGTTCCCCTCAGACACGATCTGTTGACACAAGCTCGGGGCATGATTTGGTATCCTCGACCGGCATTATGGAGGTTATGGGCGTGGCCCTTGAGCGGAATACGCTAATGTGTTCTGGTCTCTCGGCTGAGATTACCGACACTATTATGAATTCTAGGGCTCCCTCCACGAGACGCTTATATGCTTTCAAGTGGAGACTTTTTGCCTCTTGGTGTAGACA